CATATTTTCACCAGCTTTGCTCGTGAATCCATGCGAAACATCTACAACACCAAATCTTCAAGACGCCCAAAGAGATAATTGGACATAGCTGTTAATATTTGGACCAATTGTATAGACAAAGTGTTGCCGACCTATTCGAGTTCTTAGAAGTATTCCAAACATAACTGTCTTCAACTTCTACATTTTCTTAGTACTGCAACCTTCGTAGCATTTTGATTTATATCAAAAATTCCGATTTTCAGAATCTTTTTTGCTCAAAAAAGTGTAGTTAATTTCTATCAAATAATTTCCGCTTGTAATAGTTCTAATTGGGAATGAAGAAAATCTGTAATCTGATATTAAAACCACTAACAACTATCTCAATCGAGTCTGATGTTTTTTTATATTATGGTGACACTATTTCAAAAAATCTCCGATACTTAATTCTTCAAAAATGTTTTTTACAAGTTAAAGAATGTCACTACATTTCCAATTAATTTCTTCAAAAAATTGTGTTGTGAAAGTGGTCTGCAGTGATTCCAAAATTTTTTTTTTCAATTTGCGCTTCAAGTAAAATAGGATCGCATGAAGTTGTGATAAAACTCACCAACTTTTTCGGCAATTTCCTGGAAGTCTTTCAAAAAGATTTCTTCAAAAAGAGTAAAGTTTCTTTGAGTCAATACGTTCTTCTCACTGCTCGTGCACCTGAAATCAGCGCTTCCTCATCATTGAACAAATGTTAGAACTTGAAATATCAAATAAATGAGTGAAGGAAACGTTACTTACCCCGTTCCAACAGCTTCAAAAGCACACTTAAGTGTTTTTGTGAGCACATGATCAAATTGCGATAAACATGATATGAAATCCTCAGGTACCTCTCCTTTCACTCGCCTCTAGAAAGAGATAACACTGTTTTTGTACGAGTTGTTTAATGTATCCCACGTTACCTTGCAAATAAGCATACACTTGCGAAAGTTCATTGCTGGCTTGAACTTTTCCGTACACTTCTTATATGATTCACATAAACATTGCCCCTGAAGCCGAGCTACTGAAGGGATGACTAGAAGAGTGAGAGAAAACAACAGTCCTGGTAGCATGCTTTTCCTGAAAGGAAATAAGGTTTTTGGGAGAAAAAAATGCTCATTTATTGAAGTTGCGATGGCGCTAATAAAACGATGCACAGAAAGTAAGAAGATCTGAATTAAAATGTTGAGATAGGATGAGCTCTGCTCTCCTCCGGGTGCACAGGCCAGTTAACAAAGCAATTAATACCAATGTCTTGCCCTTATATGCCCGCATACATTCTGTTTTGTTCATCTTTACTTGATCAAATCATCTCTTCCTCATTACGTCAAAAACTCGTTTTCTAA